GAAAGAGTGCGTGCGTGCGTGTGTGTAGAGGGATAGGTTGCAAAGTAATTGAGAGACAAGGAAATGGAGAAGCAGTTGTAGACAGGGCTTTCGAAAGTCTTGGCAGTAAAAGGGAGGAGATACAGGTGCTTTTCCAAATAAACCAGATGTTTAAAAATCAACTCTAGTGACTTATACTTCATAAAATCACAGGGGTAAACCAGAGTATCAAACATGTAAAATGAAAATGGATGAGTGTGGGTACTGTACAAAGCTGGTTTTTTAGAAGCACCGATGAATTATTCACTTGCCCCAAATGATGATTTGAATCTAGCTTACAGATCAGTAAACTGTGCTGAGATGTACCTCGCATAGGAGAGTCCGGAGACCTGTGGTGCAGAGGGAAAAATGGGAGCTTCACAGACCAGAGGGCAAATCCCAGCTCTGACCCCAGGTCAACCACTTAACCTCCCTGAGCCTGTTTCCTGCTCTGAAAAATGGAGCTAATCACCTATCTTGCAGCACTATTGTAAGAATCCGAGGGCGTAAGTATCCAGAATTTTGGCATGGTGCGTGGTGCTTAATAGATGATAAGAGTGGGCTGTTGTAATCTGGGCATCAGTGACCCTTAACCATTGATGGTTGTCACCCCCACACCAGCTTCAGGTTCAACTCTGAACTTTGTGGGGAGGGTGATCCTGCTAGTCCATTATGCATCTTTTCCCTGTTAGTATTGAACCCTTAATTCTGGCCTTCAGTGTCTAAAAAAAGACCTGAATTCTGATTGCAGTAATTTTCCCCTTAAATGCTTTAAAGGGATGTGTCTTCCAGGAAATACCTGAAGATACAAGAGAAACAGATGTAGCTGGGAACGTCTGCTAGTTTATTGGATTAGAGATCGTTGGTGTTCTCAGTAGCTGCAGCTGCCATAGAAGGCTGGTTAAAAGATACTCTCCACCTCTTTGCCAGCATCACTCATGGAACTCGTAAGAGTGATGATAAGCCAAAAGTTCACATTTATTGGATACTTACTAGGTGCCAGTTGCTTTTATTTGAATCATTACAATAACCCTATGAGGTTGATACTAGTATTAACCTCATTTTATAGGTAAGGAACCTAAGTCTCAGAGAAGCCCCACTTTTACAAATGAGGAAACCAAATCCCAGAGAGATTAAGTAACTGGCCTGTGGTCCTACAAGTAAGAAATGATAGAGCTGGGATTTGAACCTAGATGATCTCACTCCAGAGCTATGAGACTTCAGGATGGCAGATGATTCAAAAGGTGTCAGAGGGGGGCTTCCCTGGTGGTGCAGTGGTTAGGAATCTGCCTTCTAATGCAGGGGACATGGGTTCAAGCCCTGGCCGGGGAGGATCCTACATGCCCCAGAGCAACTAAACCCATGCGCCACAACTACTGAGCCTGCGCTCTAGAGCCCGTGAGCCACAACTACGGAAGCCTGCGTGCCTAGAGCCCACACTCCGCAACAAGAGCAACAAAGAGTAGACCCTGCTCGCCGCAACTAGAGAAAGCCCACATGCAGCAAAAAACACCCAATGCAGCCAAAAATAAATACATTTTAAAAAAAAAAGTGTCAGAGGACTCTTGAAGTCATGTGTACAGTTGCCTGTCTCGCACAACTAGCACCTGGCATGCTGGATAAGTACAGCCTTGGCAGTCAGCCAAGCCTGCTTGCCATTTATTAACTCTGTGTTCTTGGACATGTAACCATGCCTTATTTTCCTCATCTATAAGAGAATAATGATAATGGTTTTCACAGAATCATGAGCACCAATCAAAATTATATGAAGTGCATGGCCTGTATCAGGCACTTGGTAAACAATAGCTGCTTTTTATTGTAAGTATGATGGTTGTGGTATAATTGGTTTATTGTTGAGTAAAGCTGAGGATCAGAAAGGGGAAGGGATTTAGCCAAGGTCATGTGAATGCAGAGCCAGGAGTCCAGCCCCATATCTTGGTTCCTGGCCCATGCTCTCTCTGCTAGACCATGTGAAGAAAGGCCACTTTGTCAATGGAGCAGCCCTGGTAGTGAGCAGGGTGTCTGTGAGCCCCACGGTAGAGAGAGAGAGAGATTGATTTTGCTAACAGGCCTCATAAATTACTGTTACTGCAAGCCCAAAGAGAGTGGCACCTTCCCAGAGATCTCTTAGCTAAAGGCATCCTTAATGAGGCTACTTAGCACAGTCAAGGTGGAAAAGACAGTTACACCAAATGTCACCTCTTTGTTCTAGCAATCTTTTATTTACTCAACAGACAGCTACTCTGGACCAGGCTCAGTGCTGGGACTGAGGGCACAGAGGGGAACGAGGAGGTTCCCAGCCCCAGGCATACATGTGCCCCCTGAGCATTGAGGCCACTGGGATTCTTATCAGGGGCAATCACCTAACCTCACCCCACCCATCCATCCTCAGAAGGGCATTTGCACATGCTGTCGAAAGCAGCAGTCCCCAGGTCCCTTCTTATTGGATAACTAAGCATCTTGACTTTTATGTGTGTTTCAGCTGGGAAGGGCTACGCCTGCAAGACATGTAAGATAGTGCTGAACTCCATAGAACAGTACCAAGCTCATGTCAGCGGCTTCAAACACAAGAACCAGTGAGTAATCATACTTTGAAATTCAAGAGCCTGCAGCAGGAGCTCAGGGTTTTGGAAGCAGAACAAAGCCAAGGTACTCCTTGGCTAAAAGGGAATCCTGGCAGTCTTTTCTGCCAGTCAACAGAAGCTCAGCCCGTTAACAGAAAGTTCTTCTCCCATCAGCTTCTCCCCAGCCTTTAGACCTGTTGGGCTGAAGGTTTTAGTAGAGAAACATAAACAATTCCCTTGGTGGTCTCCTAGATTTTTTGGCTGTTAGCAGTCTGACTAGGGAAGCTCCGCCACCCCGTCACCACTGGCCTGAAGACCTTAGTCTTCACTGCCATCAATTATGTGGCAAGAGCTCCCTCTACTGGTTATTACCAAATATGACCAGGTTCTTTCATCAAATATTGAACACCCTCTGAGCAGTAGCCAAGACAGACCCAGTCCCTACTCTTGTAACCTAACATTCTGATGGGAGGAGACAAACAATAAGCATGTAAACAACCAATAATTACAAATTGTGATAAGTTCTTTGAAGGGACGAGATTAGCAGAGTCATCTGTTCATGATAATCTTGAAAATGACTAACATTCTTTGTTTGAGCTCCTGGTCTGTTGCAGGCCACATGCCAAGCAAATTCTCTCAGGTAATCCTCACAACAATCCTGGGAAGAAGGGGTTATTGCTCTGATTTTACAGATATAGGCAACCACCGTTCAGAGTAGTATTATGAGGCAGAGCCATAATTGACACTGAGGCTTGTCTGGCTCACAGCGTGCTCCTCCAGGGCATCATGCTGACAAGGGGGTTGTGGTGCCATATGATATAAACAGGTGAGGTCCTGCCGGGGAGGGCCCACATGGTTCTGTCCCTGCCTCTCAGAAGGGAACTGTGTAGTGTGGACAGTGTGCCACAACATAACCTTCTGAGATAGGAATTATCCCCATTTTACAGATGAGGAAACAGTTTCAGTCAGGCAAGTCTGCTAAAATGATTGCTTTGACTTTGGTGATTGGTTCTGCATTGCTTACACAGCCGAATGAATAAAAGTGGTAGAAGTACAGAGTGTTGGGGTCAAAATATCCCTGGTCTTCTCTGTTCTGCCTGAAGTCTTCTCTTCCACACTGCGGCTTTATTGATAGATATGTCTTTAACTGGGAGGACTCTTGAGGTTCCTCTTAGATATGGACTTGAGACAAGCCCTAGAAACCTGGCCTGCGTCTCACTCCTGTTTCAGCATACCTCCCTTGCAGCTTGGCTGGTGGCGATTTTGTCAGATAATGTGGAACCAGTCAGAGCCCTACCCTGGGACTACCCAGACTTGAAAATGCTAGTGTTGTTTACTGTTTTCTTCCTACACTTCCCAGCTGTGTGACCTTAGGTGAGTCAGTAAACCTCTTTGAGTCTCCAGTTCCTTTTCTGTAAGATTATAGTACAATTTGTTGGACACCTAATTCAAGCTCATTAATTTGCACGAGCAGCTCCAAATTAGGACCCCACACACACACTTTACAACCCAAGGAAACCGAATGTCAGGTAGATTAAGTAACTTTGCCCAAAATCTCATAGTTACTTGGAGTCAGACCCAGGATTCAAACCTCTGACTTCAAAGCCTATTCATTTTGCTCTGCCATTTCCAAATGGAGCTCATTATCCTCACCTTATGGGATGATATAAGGGTTAGAGATAATATATGTGAAGTTCTAGTCCCGATAAGGGGAGCTGTTAGAGATAAGCTTTCACTCATTCAACAAAGATTTATTGTGTATCTATTCTGTGCCAAGCCCTGTTTTGAGCACTGGGGCTACAGTAGGCACCAAGACCAATGCTGTTCCCTGATCGTTTGGATCCCCCTCTGGTGGTAGAAGCAGATCCTAAACAAATCCATAAACGTATAAGACAACATCAGGTGGTGCTAGTGGGATAGTGATAGAAGAGCCACTTTACATTTCATTCCATGTGTTGGGGAGAATGGTCATTCTGTACCGTCCAGGTCATGTAGGGCCCTGTAGGCAGAATAAATGATTTGGTATAGAGGAAACACATGGGCTGCAGTCCTGAATCTACCACACTTTAAAAAAGCTTACTGTGAGCAGGTCACTTATACTTTCTGAACTTTAGTTTCCTCATATGTAAAATGGGGGTGCTGGTCCCCACTTTGCAGAATTAGCATGAGAATGAAATAGGATACTGGAAGCAAGACACCCGGCCTTGTGCTAGCATGCAGTGGCCCTCAGTAAAGGAGAGCTGCCCTGCTTATTACTCCATGCCCTGGAAGAGCTGTACTACTGTTGGAATAAGCTACCTGGAATACCATCACAACCACTACAAACTAACCTGTGCCTTTGTTCCTTCTCAAATTACAGGTCACCAAAAACAATGGCATCACCTCTGGGCCAGATTCCCATGCAAAGGCAACCCATTCATAAAGACTCAACCACCTTGGAAAACTAGAGGTGTTTCTGTCCAGCACCCCAGGTTGAACCAGCCATGAGCCAACTTTCTGAAGGAGCCCTTGGCTCCTTCTTCCTCCTTTCTTACACCCGGAGAATACACAGGCCTGAGGCAGGAGTGGACCACAGAGAGCGTCTGATTGGTCCAGGCAAATCCACCCCTGCTCCTCCCCGTTTTGGAATGGGCCCTGTAGGTCAGGATGAGGGAAGCAGAGATCTTGACAGGACTTGGGGTCTCCCAGAGTGGTAGTTTGGAGGATGGCCTTTCCCCTTCCCCAGCTCCTCTGGGCTATATGTCATGAGGCCCCAGGCCTGTCTTTCCTTTGCAGGTCAGTTTTGGACCAGTCCCTGCAGCTGAAGATATCTCCAGTGAAACCTGGAGCTTTCACGCCAGACATTGGCCTAGGCAGGAAAGGGCAGATGGAAGTGGCTGCCGCATGGAAACTTGCAGTTAATACGACACTCCCTCTCCCCCAAAAGAGTGCAAGCCTTCCTGAGCCTGGGATCAGATGCTGGCCAGTTGTACAGATTTCTGCCGACTGTGAAGTCTCCTCCTAGAGCAATGACACAGTCCTGGCAGAGCATTGCTATTCCTCTTACCCCCCATTCTCCACAGTTCCTGAATGGTGCTAAGAATCTGCAGCAAGTGAGGACAAGCTAGAGCCGAAGGAGGCCTCAGTACCCAGTGGGATGGGTACTGGAAACCTCCAATAGAGGCCTTTCCCCTCCTCCATCAGAGGTGCTCTGACACAGGGTCATGTGGGAAGGTCCCCACATGCAAATTTCCTTGATGGTTCTGTACCCTTAAAAGGAAACTGCCTTGTGCCAGCCAGCTCAGAGGTTAATTGCTGCCCTTCAGCCCTGCTAGCCCTCTCCTTCCCCTTGTGCAGCAGACCATCTGCCCAGGTTGCTGTGGTGCTAGTCCTCCCCCATCATCCCCCAGGAGATTCTGGGGACTGAGGAGCAGGATGGGCCCCTAAGGGAAGAAAAGAGCTGGTGTAAGTTTCTGCAGTGAGGAAACAGACGTTTCCCTGACCCCACACCTAGATTTCTCTAACACTGCTGTGTTTTATGGCCTGGGACTTCACTGGGAGTGGACTTTACCTTGTAGCTTTCAAACAGGAATTCCAGGGAGAGTTAACCATCTGAGGTCCCTATTCACTGGGTCAAAGAAGCCTGCAGCTGCTCTCATGATGTCCTCCCCACACTTCCTGTCCCTTCACCTGTAAATGCCTTTATGTATCGTGTGTGTGGGGTCTGCGGGGGGGTGCTTATGCTCTATCTCTTGGTCACTGAAGCATCTAAATAAACAATTTCGCCAATGAGCCAGACTGCAACTTAACAGACCTGGGATTTGGATCTAGTATGTGTGTCTTTACCTTTACCCTCACCCTGCTCAGACTTCCCAGCACCCTAAATACTGCTTTGAAGACTTGGGACAGAGACAGGCATCCAGTTGCTTGGCAGCTCTGTAGAAAACTTGCAGATGCCCTAAATTCAATACAAGCTCACCTGCTCATCCACCTCCGCCCTGTCCTGGAGGACCTCATAGAGGTCTTTAGAAGGTTTAAGCTGGGAGTCTACTTTGTTCGAGATGCTCATGTGGCTGCTGTGTGGAGAAGGAATGCAGGGGAGCAGGAAAGGAGACAGACATACAGGGAGGCCAGAATGGCAGCTGTATCCAAGCTAACTCCTTCAGGGCAGAGAGCCTCATTCATCTCCATTCCTCTAATGTACAGAGTGGTGTGTCACACAGTTTGTTGAATGAAAGAATGAATGAGGATGCATAAGAAGAGATGGCCTTTTCCCGCTCAGCTAATACACAACAGTAGGTTTGTTCCATGGGACTTATCATAGCCCTGGTGATTCTTGGAAGAACCTTTTCCATGACCCAGAAAAGAGCTGGGAAAGGAGTGCATGTGATGGAATCAGAAGCCCTTTGTACAACATTTGTTCCAGACAGCCAAATTTGAGGAAGGTGCCCAGGCAGCCTCAGCTCCCATCCTTCACTCAGCAAGCCGTTCTTGGGCACCTGCTCTTCGCCAGCTGGGAAAGACTCTACACAGCTCTCAGCTTCTAAAGCCTAGACTGCCTTAGCAATTTCCCCAGAGTCCTTCTACCCCACCCAAGATGTCACAATCAGCCCCGTCTACCAGGCAAGGAAGTGAAGGGCAGAGAGGTGAGTGAACTGCCATACTATGAGCCCTTGACCTGCAGGACCTCTTAGTCTAAAATTTTTTTCTTTTTTTTTGGCCACGCTTCCCATGGCATGTGGGATCTTAGTTCCCCGACAGGGATCGAACCTGCCCCCCCCCCCCCCC